TCTCCCACTACGTTTTGAACAGAAAAGCATAACAACCATAAATTTCTATCAGCTAAAGATGTCAGTTGCATGCTAGAAACAAATATGAACATAGAGCTGTGAAAAAGAGACAGCCTCCACCGATTCTTTATGTAAATGCAGGGACACAAGAAAATACAATACAAGACTTTGTGCTAGATTGTCCTAAATAAAGGCGAATAGAAAGAAAGACAGTCATAATTGCCTCAAAAAGGACATTGGTGGACTCGAAAGAACCCACGCTTCCCAGAGGAAGATCTGTTGACGCTTGACTGCGACTCCGTCGTCTCCGAGGTCGTCGACTGTCAGAGTGCGCAGCTTTTGCATAGTCGCCTTTGGTATTGATCGCCTCGATGTGCCTCGAGGAGCTAATGGCATGTAATCATCGTCGAAAGTAACTGGCTGTGGAGGGCCAGAGGGCAGATCGGCCACGATGGAGAGCGCTGGAATGGTCTCCATAATACTGGCGCCAATACCGTTGCCGTTACGATGGCTGGTACTGTCGCCGTTCGTGTGGTCGGCGGAATGTGTTCGTCTGATGTAATTGATTTCGTGCAGGTCTACACGTTCCAAATGCTCCGTCTCTTCGCGAAGGCAGGCTAACACGTCCCGCCAGCGTCCGTCTCGAAGGTGCACATTGATGAGCCTGATGTCGCGAATCTGTCGCTTGTGTTGAAGAACGATTGTGACGATGTCGTCTGCATCCAGGCACCAACCCTGCAGGCTGAAAGTTTGGAGCCGTTTCCAATGAACGCGGTGAAATATCTGTTTCAGTGGGAGGATTACAGATCCATCGCCCGAAATTCCGAGATGAATGGCAGTCAGATTTCGAGCCGCCCGGAAGAAATCATGGAAGATGCTAGACAGCTTTGGCATCGTTGTGGCCATCCCAGTGTACGACTGGAAGGTGATATCCAGGCTCAGCAATCGTGCTCCCAAGGCGGATAACATCATGGGAGGGGTCTGCAGTAGCCTGATCATGGAATCGGAACTCATCTGTGGCCCGACAAAGCGAATGGAGTTACAGCTTGATTCCAGTAGAGAAATAGCCAGATTTGTGACTGCTCGAGCGCAAGCGGGCTCCCATTCCAGCACGGCTGATCGCTCCAGCGAGCGCCCTTGAATGTGTCCCATCAATATCTCGTCCGCCTCGTCTTGTAATCTCAGTAGTTTGACCTGCTGAAGACCCGGGAATGAAGCTATTGCACGCCGCAGCAAGAGAAGATCCTGGTTCCCCTGGACGATCCGTTGTTGGTCCTGCAACCGACACTTGACTATGTTGAATAGTGAAGGATCAGTCTTTTCTATTTGAGTCAAGATCAACGGCCAGCCTGGGAATTATCAGCGTCCTTCAGTATTCGTTGGAGTCCAAGAATCTTCAGTTACTGTACCGTTTTCTGAATAGAATGGTCGCACCATGTAAGTGAAATACCTCACATGACAGGCTAGTTGCATGGTCAAGAAATCTTCCAATCGTCCAAATTCGTTCTGCGAAAACCGCAGGACGAATCGACGGAATTTTCTTGGGGTGCCGATTCGCCCGAATCTCTTGCATACAAGTCTGAATCTATCCAAGTCGGACTTCTCCCCGTACAAATGAATGCGCGTATCATCAGTGCTTTGCGACACATGCTGTGAGTTCGTCTGAGAAGCTCCGTTTATCGGAGGATCCAAATCCAAGAGAAATGAGAGGATTTCACTGAGCAATTCGTCCGCCAAGTCGCAAATGTGTCGCGGGTTGTTCATGCTGTTCGCACAAGGAGGCAGCCGCATATTCGGCTGCTCTGACCAGTCGCAGCAACATGGAAATCAAACTTAATATGAGATGAGTTGCAAGCGGCTGCGCAACTTGGTCAAGGATGCGCGAAGAGTCAGCATGGGGATCGATTTGGGTATATATATGGGGGAATAATAAAAGAGTCCAAGATCTGGGAAAAGGAAGAACCAGAGAGAAAGACGCCAGCGGGAAAAAGAAAAGAAAAGAAGGAAAGACGACGACGGAAGGAATGCATGCCTCTCTTGCAGTGTCAGTCTTGCCCAGGCTCGAGAGCAGACAGAAGCCGCAGATACCACTGCTTGCATGCAGCAAGTTGACATGTCTGACGGGGTTAGAGCGATCCACTCGGACTACCAGCCCGTTCGACTGGGATCATCGTCAGCAAATAGAGGCACTTATGAGGGACTTCCATCCTGCATGCCCTTCTGCCATCAAAATCTCCCGGTTCTCGAGGACGACTGGATATTGGTTCGCTGACTGCCACACAGCAGTCACATGATTGAAAGGGCATGCGGTTATCCAGCGCGAACCTGCAGGAGATTTGGCAGAGACGGCGGACGAGTGGCTGGGAGTTGAGAGGAAAAGCAGATGAGTTGGCAGGACTAAAAGGAGTCCAGGAGGGGAAGATGAGGACGGAAGTGATCATAAGAATGATGATTGATCCGATGATGTGACAGAAGAAACAGCCCACCGAGTCAGGATCTCTGCTAAGGCTTAGTCCAACTCTGTGCTGCAGACGCCCACCCCCGCCCCTGGGAACAGAAAACGAATCATCGCTCCATCAGCTGCAGGCCTGGATTGTTTCTGTGACCGGCGGGAAAATCAGCATGACGGTTTCCTGCCTTTTATTAGTCCTAGAAGCGCGACGAGGAAACATCAGTGCCGATTTCATGCAGAACGGGATCGAGGGTACGGTGGGACAATGCCATTGCTGTCCACCCTAATCCTGACCCTCTGAACCTCGCAGCAGGAGAAAGGGGGGAAAAGAATCCTTATCAGCCACTCGATTTCGGTCGGGAAATAAGACTCTCGCCTTCTGATTCTTTTGTTTGGAATCACTCCATCTATGTTACAGAAAAAATCAAGGAGAGATCATCAAACAACGCGGACACCCCTCTTTTCCTGCAAGCATGGAAGGCACTAAGGCAGCTAGGCACTCAGGCGCCATATTAACCATGGTCTGTAGGACACAGACATGGTCGGGTGCCTATCTACGAAATTCCGGTTTCCTGTTTGGAAGCGCCGCAATTCGTCATTTGTCCTTTGAAATGTCCTCGTCTCTGGAGGTCAAGAATGCAGGATACCTATTTAGTTCGAGTAATTCTCAAAGACTGGCCAATTAACTTAACTAATCTAGGTAGTTACCGAGCAGTGGCCATTTCCATACGGCGCCGTCTGATATCTGTACTGCTTATTTTCGACGCAAAGCTTTCGCCATCGGTTGTGGGAACCTCCCCCGAATGTAAGACATCTATCTCGAAGACATCGAGACTCTTCCACCCCTTCTTCGCTCGCTCACCATTGACAGCCGCGCCTCCCGAACGAGTCTCCGCGGACACCACGAGAGCATCGATACTTTCATCAGTGATCGTCGGCCCAAACGGGTCCATGATTTGTACCAATTTCAGCGTCAAGCCGGATGGGACCTTCATCAGCACATAATGGCCGTTGGGACCCGGCTGTGATACCCGCTCAATGCGTGGTACACCTTTTTCCGGAACGCTGAAATCCATAATCGCCATAAGGAAGGACGCGGTGCTCTGACATCGGTCGTCCCAGCTCTCCAGAAATTCAGCGTACTTTTTGTTCTTCAACAATGCATCTCCTGTAACACCAACAGTCAGGAGTCGCTCAGGAATTGGATCGAACTCTTCCACGGGTTCCACAGCCAACGCGGTGGCGGTGAGGAGAAGTTTGTGTCCAATATGAAAGTGGTCAAATGTGCCCCCTACGGCAACTGAATAATGTGATGATTGAGCCTCAACTTCCGGAACTATCAATGTCTCCGGAGAGGCCCAGCTGGGTTGATTTGAGAGTGAATGCAAGGACCCAGCGTTCGGGTCTTTGTTCTTCGAATATATACTATCGAACGCTGTTGCTAGCTGTTGACCTGCTTTATTTTCTGGATAGTAGATCCAGTCCCATAGTCGCGAAGAAGTCGCCAGCGATTGCAAATCGAGGATCGGTCCATGTCGTGGAGTCTGACGATCCTCTGCCGAGGTTGTGGGGGGATCAATAAAGATTACCCGAGCATCAATGCCACCAGGGGCATCCAGCTCAATACTGTGCTCCGCGCTGACGATTCCAATCAGCCTGTAGATGTTTGCCAAGTAATGTTGGAGACTTGGGAAAATCTTTGCCCGAGGTTGAGAGCTTCGTGAAAGCAGACCAGGTATGGAAATAGCGATGTCCAGAATTGCAATGCTATTGACGCCATTAAGCGTCTTGCAGAGTTTGGAGAAAACAGTAGACAAGATAGGTTCATAAGCTTCTCTGAATTTCTCAAATTTGACAGCCGGAGGAGGTGGGAGAAGCAGCAGAGCTGCAATCTCCTGGAGACCGTCATCGGAAGCCATTCTGAAGGTGATTGCGGGGATAGACGAGGGGAAGATCGCAAGAGGAAATCAGAGATGGCGCGGCAGATGATACACACTAGGAGATTATATATGCTGAGAAATTCAACTGGACATTTTGGAATAGTCCCTCAGAATCAGCGAATAGCAAAGAACTAAAAGAGAGGTATGCACATCCTGTGTTATCTCCGAGCAGAAGAAGTATGACTGTCGTCGGTCCTTGTCTTCCCTTCATCATCATCATTGGCTGACTCAGCAGCACGAGACTCCTCCGGCGACTCTTGCGTGTCTCATCCTCGACTCGTTGCTGCCCAGTTGCTGCCATTCGGCTTCTCTTTACGGTCCTTTTGGGTTTTTTTTTTCATAAACTCCATGATGCGCTTGTGAAACACTGACAAGGTGATTTTCCTCTGATATGATCCCCGACTGCACACAGGCTTGGTGTGGTCGGAGCTCCATACTCCTACCTGTACATGTCTCTCTCTCCCTCTCCTCACTGTCAAGTCATCTACTTACCATGGCTCTCAGAACTAGTCACTGGTGAGAAACTAGCGGGAGCTTTGGTTCTAGCGCAAGAGTGCTGCTTACCAAGAAAGTCCTTACGGATTCCTCAACGACTGAGCTGCAACAGCATGTCGAACCCCGCGCAACCCTACGAGTCCACTCGACGGATGACCGTCTATAGCCGCCAGCCAGAGGAGCTTCATATCCCGTCCGGGGCCCAGACGAATACAAATTTGCAGCGCCAATCGGTGTCTCACGAATTATCGACGGCCACTGAGCCCCCAATGAACAATCTCCCTTCCATCAACGTCCAGCCTTCGAGCGCCCAGCCAAGTCACTATGGGGCTGGTACCAGCAGTGGCAGCGGTGCTCTCCCAGGAGCACTTCAACCAGGGAACGTGCACCGCCCTCCGGCAGTGTCTATGAACACAGCGCCTTCTGCGCTCCCAACGCTTCCTCAACTATCTACCCAGCTGCAACCGCAGGCATCGCAACAGCCACCGACAACCCCCCGTTCGGGCATGGTCAATTCGCACGGTCATTCCAGATCCAGTCCTTCGAACCTTGAACAACCCACATATAGACCGCACGGAGTGACAGAGAACTCCAGATATGCATCATCACCCGGTACGGGTTTCCAGCCTCATACTCCGCAAGGAGCGAAATACTCCCCGCTTGGGTTGGCCGATATACGTCCGTCTGGGGACCTCCTGAGTGATGCGATCCACAGTTCGAGCATGCTTCCAATTAATGGAGATACTCAGGTTCCAACGAATAGCAACTACATCGCTCCTTGGCCCATATACGCGATGGATTGGTGTAAATGGCCAATCTCAGGAAGCTCTGGCTCCTTTGGCGGCAAGATCGCACTAGGAAGCTACTTGGAAGATAACCACAACTATGTAGGGACATGTTCTATCTGTTTCCTTATTGTTTGGCTTTTCAACTGCTGACTAAAATTCAGATACAAATCATTGATACCCATTTGACGCAACCAGACCCAGATACACCAGATGTCGCGGCGGGAGACGTGAAACTAGAGTATGTCAAAACCGCGGAAGCCACACATTCTTATCCTGTCACGAGAATCCTCTGGGAACCGCCCTCGTCCCAGAAGCAATCGACAGACCTACTTGCGACGTCCGGCGACCACCTACGATTGTGGTCATTACCCACCACCCAGCCCTTGCATAGCTCCAACTCAATTACACGTCCTGCAAGTCACCGGGATCCGCCGGCCGCCAAACTTTCCCCTTTAGCATTGCTATCGAATTCAAAGTCTCCCGAACATACTGCCCCTATCACCTCCCTTGACTGGAACACGATCTCTCCCAGCTTGATCATCACCTCTAGCATCGACACGACCTGCACAATCTGGGACATTCCTACACTCACAGCCAAGACACAGCTGATCGCGCACGACAAGGAGGTATATGACGTTCGATTCTGTGCGAATAGCGTCGACGTCTTCGTCAGCTGCGGCGCCGACGGTAGTGTGCGCATGTTCGATTTGCGCAGCCTGGAGCACAGCACGATCATCTACGAGCCGACTGAGAAGAACGACAAATGTACTGTCCTCACATTATCCTGTTTTGGGTTTTGCTGACACGAGCCTTCTCTAGTAATGAGCCCTGGAAACGGTAGCCCTTCAGCTCCATCCAATTCCGTCTGGCCCCCGCCACTTTTACGTATCGCAGGTGTGTATTTCTAGTCGCGTGCACGGTGCAGACCTTTACTTAACACAAATTGCAGCATCACCACACGACGCTCACCTTCTTGCAACGTTTTCTCAAGACTCCAACATCGTCCGCGTGCTCGATGTCCGGCAGCCGGGCCAAGCCATCGTCGAGCTCAAAGGCCACGCCGCACCCATCAACTGCGTCGAGTGGTCCCCAAACAGACGAGGAGTCCTCGCCTCCGGCGCGGACGACTGCTTCGTCCTCCTGTGGGATCTGATCAATCAGCACAATGCCGCACCTGTGCCCCCCGTCGTGCAAAACCCAGGCACACCGTCAACCACTTCCGAACGGGGGCCAGCTGCAGCCTGGCAATGCGATTATGAAGTCTCAAACCTGAGCTGGTCGCCTCAGGGGGGGACGACCGGCTCCGGCCACCCAAGGGATTGGTTAGGGGTTTGTGGAGGCCGAGGCGTGTGGGGTGTTGCATTATGAGATGGAGACGGATGTGCGATCTTTGCTTCTAGACAACTTCTATCTATTCCCCTTTTGTTCCTTTCTTCTTACTTTTTCATCTTTCTTGAGTGTTGGTTTGCCTTACTTATCTCGTTCTATCTGGCGGGTGATGAAAAATGAAGTCATGCATGCCGGTATATGGAGCGAACTGGACGAGTGATGATTGAACGATTGACTGAATTGAATCAGAGAAAAATCTACAGTGCTTGATTGTGACAGTTATGAGCACTCACGCGAGGCAAAATTCAAGGAGGTATATAGAGATTCCTCCAATCTTAAGTCTATTGGCTTCTACTCCAGGTAGGTATGTGGATCGTAATATGTACAGCGTAAATGGGAAAAAAGCAGACCAAGCGGTCTAGTATATGAAAATGACTTTAAAACACCCAACAGCCGATGAGTGGGTAGATTTGGAGACAGCATTAACGCGCTTAGTGGATATGTATGTTCGGCGTCGAATTCTGCCGCCCGGTCATCTTGACAAGCACTTTATCCTCCACCCACCGGGCGAATTTGACGCTGGGGATGTCGACGGCGCGCCAGAAGACGTCGCCCGCCCAGAGGGAAACCGGCAAGCAAATGAGCCAGCCGATGAAGAAACCCAGGCAGTACTGGAAATCCGTCTCCTTGCCGGTGATTTTCCAGATATTCGGCATGAGCGAGTAGCCCAGGGAATGGAGGATGGGGCCGTGGACGATATAGAACGCAAAGGAGATTTTGCCCAGGTATTGCGACAGGCGGTTGACGAAGAGCTTCTGGATATCCTTGGAGTGGTTTATGCTGTAGACGATCAGGACTGCACCGAGCGTCTGCGGGAAGCGGTGGGGTTCAGGGTAGGTCTTGGGGGTGATTTTCCAGGTCCACGTGTAGAAGGGAGTCCATTTGTAGCCTGTGTTTGGAGCGGAACCGAGATAGAGGCCGAAGATGAAGAGGGCAATCCAGAATTTGCGGCTTGAGAGGCGGGAGAGGGTTGAACGGCTGCGGGGCATGGGCTTTTCGTCTGCGGATAAGCGCTCCCATGTACCGTTGATCAGATCAGCTTCGACCATGAGCATGCCAGACAGAAACAGGACGACGTCCCACCGGCCCCAACGCATACAGAACCAGACTAGGCCGCTAACCAGGGAGAGACGAGCAACGACTGTAACGCGCGAGGTTGCGATGATGGTGAGGAAGAGGACAATTGAGCACCGGAATTCTACTGGAATCGTCCACAGGTGTGGGTTGTAATAGTTGTAGTAGAGCGCCCAGTTCCAGGGGTCCATGAGATGCACCACCGTGAGGTACATGTCCCAAAATTGCTTGGTAAAGGACTTCATCAGAGGGGGATGCTGCTCGTTGGTGCCGAGGATGGTGTGTCCTTGATTGACGACTTTATGCGAGTAGTTGTAGACGCCGAGACGCACGGCAACAAAGACCAGAACGATACCGACAATGGAGGGAATGTACAGGCGCAGACCGCGACGAAAGGTCGAGGACGCCAAAGTAGCCAATGTCTGCTCCCAGGAGCGAGTACGGATCATCTTCAGAGGCTTGTATGATAGCACATATCCCGAAATCACAAAGAAGATGGCAACCATGATGTGACCGGAGACTAGGAGGTGGACGATGGGAAGGTGAAGAATCCCGTAGTTCTCGTTATTGAAACCCCACCCCACTGCGACTTTCCATGTGTAGGTGAAAAGGAAATGGAAATTGAAGACCAGCAGACAGGCCCAGCCTCTCAGGCCATCTAGCGCTGCGATCGCATGGAGTTTCGAGGACTGGGGAGGCTCCCCGCCCACCAAATGCTGCAGATAGCTCGGTGTGAGCGCGATGCCCAATTTTTTGAGCCAGCGATGTAAATACTCCTCCCAGTGATCTGAGAAGTGTTGCACGTGTGAAGACAGCCGATCGGGACGAGCGAGCACATTGGAGGGGGTGTAGTCAGATAGATTCGTCCAGTTGAAGGACGACTTGCTCCCATAGGGGCCTGACTCCAGGTCATGGAGGGGAATATCATGGATCGCAGAAGAAGCCAGAGCGTCCTTATCAGTAAGCGACATATCGCGAAAATGCTTGTATCAGGTATATCAGGTATGGGTTTGTGTGAAGGCGTCGGGGAGAGCCAGTACTCCGTACAGAGAGGGGAACTGGTATAAATGGGGTCTGATTGCGCAATCAGATCGACAAGGCGATATAAAACGATCCAGTCGTTTGAAAAAATGTGGAAACAATGTTCGAAAAAAGTTGTTCGCTTAAGATAACCAACAATACGCGATAATGGGTATATTGATGATGCAGATGTGTTCCTTCGGAGTCCATCAATCGACGAGGCATTAGAGCAAACCGGTGGACATTCTGAGGACAAAACCTCAACTGTTAGACTCGTCGCATGATCTTTGAAATTAGGGGATCGAGAGGCTCTCACCTGTGTGGATCACTGATATAACCTGAAAACAAAAAAAGATAGCGAGGAGAAAGGAATGACTGAATAAAGAGAGGGAGATTGGTGGCAGAAGAAGAGTTGGAGTAGAGGCAAGAGAGAAAAGAGGACAAATCAGTCACAGCCTCATGTTCCCCGTGTCAACTGGCGCCGATCACAAATCCTGTCCACAGTCAACAAAAGATCTATCTGCTTGATTTTGGTGGTATTCTCGAGTATACAATGGTCTTGTCTGTGCATCAATATCTGTACTGTTCATGAAAATCGCAATCCAGTTAGTATTTCAAGTCTTCGTGGAAGCTCGCTTGAGTTAGCTCTATAATAATGGCTCTACTATGACCTCAACTTTGATCCACGGTGAGGATACACAGAGAGCAAAGATGCAATTTTCTGTGCATGGATAAATCAACCTCGATATCTTCAAGTATCACTCAGAGAGAATCAACCGGATAATCAAGTCAGGAGATGCGATGACTGTTGTCCATCGCTCTCACAGCAGCAGGTTCAACCAAACTAGCCAAACTTTTGGGCTTCTCCGAATTCTCTCCGTCTCTCTTCCAGCTCCATCTCCATTTCCATCTCCATCGTCATCTCTCATTTCTTGTCCCAATTTATCCTCACCATTCAGTCGGTCTATCAGGAGGAAAGACACCAAAGTCATTCCTTCAATTCCATCCCTACTCCCCTGTCAATTCCTCTCTCTCTGCTCCCTCTTCCATCCCCTCCTTTCCTTTCGAAGAAGAGAAAGAACAGTGGCCCCTCGACGCATCCCATTGCGACGACGGAGCCCCTGTTTTTCTTTTCATCTGGATGTCTGGCTTGGTGATCTTATCTTCTTTATTTGCCCTTCCTTCACCTCAGTGACTTCTAGTGAACACTGTCCACCATGGATTTGCGCACGATTATGAACACCGATGCCACTGGCACCTCCAACGCTGCCCCTGCTCCGTCGCAGCAATCGCTTTCTCGAACTGAACCCGTCTATCCTCCACGTCAACCGCAACATGTCACCGCATCGCCCTCGTCCTCGTCGCCTTCCCATCCTCCTGGATTCCAACAACAGCCCCCTCAGCCACCTCCATTGCAAAGGCCTCATGCATCTCCAGAGCGATCGTCTTCCTATGGCTCAATCCAATCGCCTTTTCAGTATCATTCGGCCTCTGCGCTGAGTGCCGGTGCGCAATCCCAACGAGGCCAGAGTCCGCCCACTCCAGCTCCTCCATATGCTTCCTCCGGCTCGCGTGACTCCTATCCTGCGTCCGCCAGTTATAACACGGCTGCACCATTGGCTTCTCCATACACCCCGCAACCCGCGAGTTCTGCGGGCCCTTTCCCGGAACAGCAACAGCAGCAGTCGTATTTCGCGCAGCAGCGATCGCAGTCCATCCAGTCTGTCCTCTCCCCTCAATCCGCCACGAACCACTCATTCCCACCCAGAGAAAGTCCTTCCTCGGCTGCTTCGCAGTCGCATCCGTCACAACTGTTCTCACCCCCGGCGCACGGCTCGTTGCCTGGTACTCCTCGAGCATCCGCTGCCACATCTCTACCTCGTCAAACAACGCCGTCTACACGTCCTCAATCTTCCGGTCATGACTCTCAATCGCATCATGCCTCAAGCCCTTGGGTTGGCCAAGATTCTCAAGTCCACATGTCTCCAACTGCGATGCCAAGAGCTTCGCGTCAGGATTCAAGACACCGGGAGCAGACACCGCGACAATTTTCTCAAGGGGTTGACAGGCGAGCATCGGATGAAAGTGTGAGCCCCAAGACTGCCTATCCTGCAGCATCCCGACAAGGAAGCATGACCTCAAGTTCCGAACAGAGGTTTTCAGCGCAGACGAATCGCGTCGGGGACGAGGCAGTGAGGGAGAACTCCACAGCGTCAATAATGAATATGTCGCAATCGCCAGTTGCTCCTGTAGACGCTCATACTGCGCCAACTATGTCTCAAATAAACAGCTCGCCTTCAGCCCAGTCGTTCAAGCCGAACGAACCCCTCGCCGGAGACCGGACGCACCCATTTCCGCCCAAGATGGATGTCACTACTGGCTTTAGACCCGATTCGATTGAGCGTCCTGCGAAGCGGAGAAGAAGACGATATATTGAGCCCCCAATCTTCGCTCAGCGGTCTGTTCGGACTAAAGGACGATGCCCGATGATTCCAAACCCGCACCCACCGATTCCCAAACATCTTAGAGACTCGCCCCGGAATCCCTTCGAAGCACGCCGACAGTCAACCCCTTCACAAGCGCCAGCCGCTGCAATCGCGCTCTCGACCGCCGCAACAGCCGCGACCAAGTCGGAAACACCACTCGTCAACGGCCCTCCAGCGGCCCGTCTACCCCCGGCGCCGGCCGCTCCAGCTCCCCCAGCAGGAAGCTTAGGGCCATGGGAACCCTCGATTACCGGTTTCATACCTCATGAGGAGATTACGAAGCTGGTGTGCGACTTTTTGTTCCAGCACGTAGTGCTCAGGAATGATGCTACTGCTGCCCCCGCCGGCACAGCAGCGGCAGGCCAGGGGGCCATCATCGAGGTGGAAGCTAAGTTAGGGCACATTATCGACATGGATCGCAACGAGAGGCTCAGCCTTCCGATCTTAACGGAAAGTGTCATTAACAAGGAAAATCCTCGTTTTCGGACCGCGTTCGAAAGCTCAATGACCCTTGTGAGTACCATTGCTACGTCAATCATGACCCACTTAACTGACAAATCTATCAGACGCAACATCGGGCAATGAACAACTTTCTCAACGAAGCCGTAAAAGCATCTATGCCCCAAACAAATCAGGGTCGAATTCCCCTATCCTACGCTCACAAGAAAGAGCGAGACACCTTCTATGAAATATCCCCATCCGAACTTCCTCCGGTCATCAGACAGAACCTCAATCCTCGTCACAAACCCAGGGTCCGCGTCACCGTCGACCAGCGCACCGGCGAGGTTCTCGCTAAGATCGTCAAATGCCGCATCGCAGACATGGACGTGCACAGTCCGCGCACAAACGTCGATTGGCGAGTCAGCGTCAACCTCGAAATGGGCTATGAAGGCGACGTCAGTCACCTCCCCATGGTAGACAGCCGAGGCGGCCGCAGCGGAGACCGAAGCAAAGACCGCATGAGCTACAGACATTTGGCATACCAGATCGACCTGACCCAGGTTGCCAAATCAGAGGTAAGCCTTTCTTCTGGAACCTGTCGCCGACTTCTGAACCTGTTCTGACGATGACCCAGCCCCCTAGCAAAGGCGACTTCGAACACGAACTCGAGATCGAGGCCTCCGCCGCTGAGATCCGCCGTCAGGGCCAGCTAGCCATGGCCGGTGACCCGCAGAATCAATACGAAGATCTAGTCAAGGGATTTGTGGATAACATCCGCGTGTTGGCGCGTGCAGTGCCGCCTGCAGTGCCGCCTTGATATTCCTACGCCAGGTCTGCAGGCTTCAAAACCACATATCATCAGAACAAGAATACAGACTACCACCACTCCTCGGATGGAAGCGCCGTAACCTTCTTGACTGTGTTGTTAATACATATCCATTCTAGTTTGATTTTCTAATGGTCAGGTCGAGGATGTGACTCGGGTCACAAGACATGATATGATTGATACGACATGTCGAATATTCATTGCGTTTGCGACTTGATTTCAACACCAGCATATAGATCAAAGCCACACAGCTGATTATTTCAAGTTGACAAGGTGTACATGATATTGAGTCCGCCCTGTATATGTCTAGAATACAACCATCGAAGTATGAAGTGAACCGACTGACCACGCATTATACATTGTCCATCTGTATTCGGGAAAAGATAATTAAAAAAAAACCGGCAACGTAAAATACATTCCAAAAGATCCGCCATTTTTCCGCGCTGCAAGCATGCTCTAAGGGCTGGGTGTTCCTTCGTCATAGCGAGGCCCGCCATCCTCACCGTCCCCATATGCTCCTGCGCCCGGGGTCGCGGCCGCACCACCCATCGCCGGCGTGGGTGCATCGTACGGACGACTTGAGGGACCGCCGGGGGTCGGTGCATTGAACACTCCCGGCGTCGGAGCGCTGTCAGCCCAGGCTCCAGGCGTAGGTGCCGAGGCTCCGGGGGTTGGGGCGCTATATGCCCCTGGGGTGGGAGCAGAATAGGCCCCACCGGGGGTGGGAGCGTCGTAGCCGCGAGAATCTCTATTCCCGCTTCCTGCTGAGGAGTTTGCAGACCAAGCTGGCGTTCGGGAGCCTGCCGCAAATGCATCAAAGCCGCTCGATCCAGAGCCGGAGTCGTAGGGTGTTCGTGCGCCGGCGTTCCAGGCGGGTGTGCGTGAGCCAACGCCTCCGTATGCGGTTCGACTCCCATCGTATGGGTTCGATGTGCGCGATCCGTCCATCTTCCATGCTGGTGTGCGAGAACCGCCGATGCCTGCCCAAGCAGGTGCTAAATATCAGTTAGTCTCCAACCCTTATCATAAACGGTATTAATGTAACACTTACTTCGAGCCGAAGATGCACCACCCCAAGCAGGCGTTCTGGATGAATCTGCCGCTGCCATAGGAGTACGTCCGCCTGACCATCCAGATGGGGGCGCCGCGGAAGCACCATATGGAACACGCTGTCCTCCCTTTCGAGACATATCCAGTGTTTGACCGGTGACTGGATCCTTGACGATGAGTACGTCCTTGGGAATCGTCACCAATTTATTTCTCGAGTGAAGCTCCACACGAGCTTGTACATCTGTCGAATCCTTCACAATACCAACAAGACCCTTGTACGGCCCCTTCCGCACTTGAACGGTCTTGCCAATCAACCGGTCACGGCCGAAAATTTTGGGAGGACCCATTGAACCACCGGGCATGCCGTTTCTCATCAGAGCCGGGTTCATCTTGGTGAGATCAGGCCCGGAGGATCTGCCACCCTTGGCTGACACAGTGACGACATTGGTCGTGCGGACCACGACGATACCTGAATTCTCTGCTTGTGATTTGTTGTGCAAGAACAGGAACGAGCGGTAAATGTGAAGGATGACGCCACTCCTCTGCTCTCCATACACTTCCCGCACAGTATCGCCGATTCGAATTTCAGCACCATTGCGATCGGTAGCCACCGCGTCCCGACGTGGCGTAATCTTGTTTGCGACCTGCGACGGAAGAACAGTGCGAATAGACCCATTCTGGTCTAGAACTCTCAACGACTCACGATCGACCTTGACGATACAAGCAACAGTGGAGGCACTGGGACAAGATCAGTGAATGAAGAACATACTAACACAACGAGAGACAACTCACTCTAGTTGAACGAGGTCATGCACATCAAACATGCCCAACTTCCCATCGACACCAGTCTCGGCAGAGAGCCTGAGATCATTGCTGAAGACAGTAATTTCCTGCATGCTCATATCACTGAGCAGTGTCACAGTATCGTCTTTGACCTGTACCACCATACCCAGCTCATCCTGGTATCGACTACCACCAATGACCTTGACATGGTCACCTTCCCTAAAGCGCTTCCGAAGAGATTTGACTGGAGCTTCAATCATCTGTCCGGCCAGTTCACCTTCAGTTACCTGCAAGGTAACGATGTCTCCGCGGGTCGAAGTGGTGCGACCGACCAAGCCCTGCTGCTCGCCACGGAACACCTCGACTGGGTCACCTGGAAGGTATGATTCCTCGGCCGTCGAGTTTTTGAGCGTCTCCGCAAGTGACGCAAGGTCCAGGTTTGAGGTACCGTCATCAGAGCCTCGAGCGAACATTGTGACCTCCTCGAGACGGGGGTTGACATTCTTTGTGATAAGATGCTGTACCTTCATGTCCTTGATCAAGAACCCGTCGATATATGTCTCACCAAGGTAGCTCCACGACTTTCCACCCAAGCCGGACGTAGCTGACAAGTACTTTCCATGTCTTTTCTTCGCTTCAGCCTCGCTGAATAGTCGCTGAGGAGGCCGAGGACCTGCTGAAGTCATGCCAGGGCGCTTTCTCTTGATGTCGACTACAGGAGCCCCACTGTCTTCATTCAAGCCATAATCTAAACGTGGGACCAAGCGAACTGTAACCTCCAAGCCATTTGTGTCCACTTCTTCAATTTGGGCCAGATCACCTTGGTATTTGCCGCGCTTGATGCGAACCCATCCGCCAGGGTTGAGCTCCTCGGATTTCTGAACTCGAAGTAAATCGGGCATCTCTCGAACGGGAACCAGGATCATCTTTGTTCGTGGATAGACGTTTGACATATCTTCCAGCGCCTCCATCACATCAGCCTGTCTGCGCGCTTCAACGTAGATGTAACCACTCATGGCACCCCCACGCTCAAACGCGGAAATGATCTTGATGGGTTTCCGAGAGCCGGCCGGCCGCTCTTCGATCCGCTTTTGAATCGCAAATACGACTTCACGCTCCTTGCCGGCTTTGCAACGGACACCCCAGATACTGGGATCATCAACACTGGGAAGAAGCAACCGTTTGGGCACGACAACGGCATCGGTGGCGGCGGCGCGGTTTCGGCCATAACGTTCTTTGAGCAATTGCGCCTGCTTCTCGGCATCCATACTCGCCTCGAGTTCACGCTGGCGATCGAGTTGTCGGTGGCGGCGGTCGTCGGTCTCCGCGCCAGCGGGGAGCGCATCCAGATCGTCCGGGTGCATCTCGGCGCCCAACTCCATTTCATCCTCCTCGTCTTCAGCTTCGTCCTCTTCTTCGTCGACACCGGCCTCCGTATCGATGAAATTATGCACGCCGCCCATTCTCCTTCTTCGCTTTCTCGGACGGCCCTGGTTGTAAGACGGCCAAAATTAGACCTGCCATCAGCTCGGTAAGGAAGCCACATCACTTACCGATGAGACGTCTTGCTCATCTTCATCTTCATCGTCCTCATCTTCGTCCTCGTCCTCCTCATCATTTTCACCTTCTTCCTCGTCTTCGCCCTCATCTTCCTCATCGCGAGCGTCACCCTCATCCGCGTCAATGCCTTCCTTTACGTCATCTTCACTCCCCTCTCGGTCAGCCCTCTCGGGCTTAACATCGGCATGGTCGTCCTCCTCCTCGTCCTCGTCCTCGTCAATCCGGCCGCGACTCGTCGACTATTTCAAACATTGTGAGCATTTGTACTGATCCCAGCCAGTTAATATAGTATACACGCACCTGTGGCTTGACATCCTCCTCATCAGACTCTTCCGCAGCCACTGGATTAAAATCGTCATCCTCTTCCTCGGACCCAAAGTCCTCGTTCAGAAAATTGCGTGACATGTTTTGAGTTGTGGCGTGGTTGTTGTATAAAAAGAAGACGGACTGGGTGAATTTGCTAGGATTTCACAACAACGGTCGAGAGTCCGTGAGTTGATTTCCGAGACTGAGGAAGAAAAGAGCACCTCGGTCCTTTCTCAAGGCGAAACGAGGAGATTCCGCAATCGAGCTCAAGGTAGACCAAGAGTGGGAAAAGATTCAAAGAGCAAAGGGTTGCGACTGGGGGATGTCGATAGATTAAATAGACAGCAGCCTAGCTCTCAACCGGGAAAACAGAACGTCCGGTTGAGGTCCAAAGTACGAGAAGGACAACGATCAAAAGAGCAGGGCGTCGACGTTGGCCAGACAGTCGAGCGGCAACTTCTCCGTTCGTTCGCCGACTCCGCGACCGCGACAGATGGGGTTCCTGCCTTTCCGAGACGGAGAATCGATCTGAAAAGTGAGAGAATGTGAGTTATACAGCTGCTCACCAGAGCCTGATGTCGCGAGCAGCTATTTGCGTGAATGGGCAGGAAAGAGTTTGGTTGAGCTCAAGGTGAGGGAACTTTCAGGTGGCAGCGCAATAAGCCAAGGGCGGCTGCGCTTATGGTGTGAATGCGCGCCCGGAGACCCCTCGGTCAGAACTTGAAAGCAACACAACAGCAAAGTTGATCGATTCACATCAATGTCTCTCGACCAATCTTCAATAAATCATCAGATCTTAGCCGCTCGTTGCAAAGACTTGGCCTTGAGGATGGTTAACTACAAAGAGCATGCGAGCGAGTACTTCCTCAGGTATGATCCAGAAAGCTAGAATCAACTTATATTCATATGGTACAAACAAACCAAATAAAATGACAACACAATCCGCAACTTGCAAACAGGGCTAGAGCAAAAGGTGGATATCTATATACTTTGCAATCTCATATCCAAGAATCAGCGAAAGGAAGATCACAGCTTCATGCCGAACATCTGGTGCACACGCAAGCTCTGGCGCATGCTGAGGTCCAACATGATCTCCTCGCTTCCACCAGGGATAGCGTAGGCACGAACATCACGGTACAAGCGCTCAACCTTGCCACCCTGACCACCGCGGCTGTAGCTGAGACCTCCGAAAATTTGACTTGCCTCACGGGCACAGAATTCGAAAGCGGTAGTCGCTTGAGCCTTAAGACCAGCAATGGCACCACCCAGCTTGAGCATCGCTTCAGTTTCTTCCATGGACTGGCACTGATAAATGACGTTCTCCAGCCAATTGTATGTTGCTTCGATCTGGCGAGCCATGTGCGCCAGCTTCATGCGAATGACAGGGTGGTCGATGAGCTTCTTGCCGAAGGTCCTACGCTTGTGGGCGTACTTCATGGCTTCTTCGTAGCAAACACGAGCGAAGCGGACACACTGAATGACGATACCAATTCTCTCGTGGTTGAAGTTGGTCATGATAACTAGAACGTAGTCAGTATTTGGTTTGGAGACACTCGGGAGGTAACAACTCACCCTTGAAGCCCTGGTTCTCCTTGCCAATCAGGTTCTCCACGGGAACCTTGACGTCCTCGAAGGTAATGTAGGTGGTACCACTGCTCCACACACCCTGGCAATCCATCCGTCTGGTGCTGACACCACCCGCCTCTCTTTCAATCAAGAGAACACTGATGCCGTTCATACCGGGCCCGCCGGTACGAACAGCAGTGGTGAAGTAATCGGACCAAATACCGTTGGTGATCCACTTCTTCTCACCATTGACGATGTAGTGCTTGCCATCAGGAGACAGCTTGGCTTCACATGTCAAATTGGCAACATCACTGCCCGCATCGGGCTCAGTGATGGCGAGACAGATACGCTTGTCGCCGGCCAGAATGCCGGGCAGGATTCTGTCGACCAGAGCCTTCTTACCGAACTTGACCAGAGGCGGGCAACCAATACCGAAGCCACCAATCAAGTTCCAAACCAGACCACCACTGCCAGCGCGGGACAATTCGTCCGTAAGGAGCATCTCGTGGAAGAGATCCCAATTCTCAGGCGCAACCGACTGGACCCTGTTGCGAGCGTGTTTGACGGGGTACTTAGTCCCCAACAAACCAGCAAGATATCCTCTCTCACCCATCTGCTTGTAAATGCTGTCGGGCACCTTCTTGGCCTCATCCCATTCGGTAACGTAGGGCTCAATCTCGGTCTCCACCCATTGTCTGACTTCCGCGCGGAGGGCCGCATGAGTTTGATTGAAGTAGGGCGAGTGGTACTAAACGCATTCAAAAGATCAGCGTCACGGTTCAAAACCGCAGTAAGGAGGATGATCGGAGAGGAAACATACACCTTGGTACCATGAAGGGTCCGCGAAAGGAATCAGTTCACCGTAAGGCTCCAAGGGCTCGTCGGACTTCGCTGCAGCAACATCAACCGGCGCTGCAGCTTGAGGCCTGGGCGCCTCCTTCCTAGCGGGAGTAGGGGCAGGAGCAGCAGCCTTCTTAGAATCCAGAGAACCAATCTGCAGCTGGTCCTTGTACTTCTTCAGGATCCCCTCATTGTGGTATTTCCAAAACTGTTTCGAAGCATCCTTGCCCGCCACTCGCGAGAGAACTAGATGCGCATTGTCAGCGCCGGTGCTGCTAAATTTCGGCTCGAGAAAGTGACAATGACATACTCTTCTTTCCACCAGGGTGATCGTCCTGGAACTTGGTCAAGTCGTATACATCCTCATCGATGATAACCCAGAGGCTGTCTGGCTTGCTATGCGACGCCACGGCGTCCTTGGAGAATATTTTGGACATGATTGTCTATATAAACAGATGTTATGAGCGAAAAGGAAGTATAGATACAAGACTAGTGTATATCTCTGCAACCCACGCAGCTAGAATAAGGGACTCTTGCACCACAAGCTATCTGGGGTATGGGGCAGAGGAAGGACAAAGAAGTAAGGGACAAGGAAACAATCCGGGGTAAGAGACAAGAGAGGGAGAGGATTCGGGGATAGATATAGGCCTAGGAAATAATTAGGGACAACGAGCGGATCTCTCCACCTCGGGGGTCCAGCTTACATGGGACGAGAAGTGATGATATGACTGCGCTTGATCAGCGCAGCCAGTAATGGCGTGAAAAATGTACAGGTAGTGGATATCCCTTTCGGAGGAACAGCCCAAAAGAGCCCACTGAACCAGTTCTCAAGTCTTAGTTCTTATTATTGTTCGGTAGATTATTGACGACAAGAAGAAGAGTGCCGCTTTGCAGGGTGGTATTCGGCCTTCTTTCACATGCACATTCCCAGCGATAGTAATAATGCGAGCGAACAATACCTTAGCCATGATGACTGATGACTGGCTGGCTGCCATGTCGCCCAAAGGATCAACTGCAGCACACGCGAAACACCTCGGCCAGATGATGCTTTGCAGGGTCATCCACTGGTGATTGTGTGTTCTGCTATTGGCTGTGGAGTGTCCGCCTGCGTCATGGTAGCACGTGTGCCGGTCGCCCATATTGGGAAACTGCCGAGGTAGTAGCCAGCCACACGTGATGTCGAGTTAGTCCAGATTGAGCAATCAGCGCGAAGTCTCTATCTACTGTTGAGGAGCACCTCCCATGTGAATTTGCTCCAAGCCTCTCATCGGCTCATTTTGGTCAACTGGTTCAAAGACATGGATCATGGATCAGGATGGCTTTCTTCAGTATGGTAGATACATAGCACCAAGATATCTCCGATTCGCTGGTTAAAAGGCTAAAATGGAACACTCCGTCCATGTGGTTCTTAGTTTGACACTTGACAGTAACGATTACTGCTGCACATATGCATCTGTTGCAATAAATAGTAACGAAATCTCGAGTTATATCTTTTTTTTTGATGGACCCTCCAGCTTCTTAGTGCTTGGTCGCAACTACTATAAGGTCTTCTGTAGCTTGAGTGCAACGAACCGTCCGGAAGGATCGGAACAAGATGCAGCATTGCGGAAAGCATCGTATACCATTATGATCTACCAAGTGAACAGGCTAAGGCTTGACGTCCAAGTAGCGGAGTGTTAACCTCAAGCACGAGCAGTTCTCATTGCCCTCGCTGAAAGTAAAAGCGAAATCATCATTAATCTAGTAGTACAACCGCCGTCCAGATATGCAATCACTATGCCAGCGTTTACTCCTCGAAGCCATCAGATTCATACTCAAACTCCTCCGGCACAGGGGCTTCCTCGCCACCTTCTTCATCCTCATCCACAGCGGTCAGGACACCCGCGGCGGCCGCTGCCCCTGCGGCTGCGGTGGGATCCGCACCGAGAGGCATCCGACCAGCATCGCGTTGTGGGGTCTGCAAGGCCGCAGCGCCAATGGCGGCTTGCAGCCGATCTTGAAGCGATTCTGCGGTCGCTGCGGGTTGTTTGGTTTCTTTGCTTGCTTTCATCTCGATCGTTTCTCGTGGTTCTTCGGGGTTCTTGTCCAACACAACAACAACTCCTCCGGTAGGCTGTTGATGCAAAATTAGCACTATTCTGGGATGGACAGGATTTGGTTAAGAACCTACCCGTTTTACCGGCTCGTACCGCGGGTCTGGGAATGTGAGGTATTTGAGTTGAGCAGGAAGAACCCTGGACATGTTTTCGAGCTCATATCCGACCTTCTCCCGCTCCACCTTCTTCTTCGGACCTTCACCAGCGCCCTTCTCTGCTTCCTTGGCCTCTTCCTCACCCTTCTCAGCACCTTCGTCGGTTTCCATCTTCTCGGGGAGCTGGTCCGACACTTTAGGTGTCGTAGGCGTCTGATCAACATCCATGCTCTCACGCCGTTGCTGTTTCTCACGACGTTGAGCACGACGCTTCGCTTGAGCGGTCGTGGAAAGCACAGCAGTCTTGACCTTTTCAGGCGCCTCCTCAGCCTTCACCTGCTGCTCTGGAGGGTAGTCGAAGAGACTAGGTCTCGTGTTGCTATGGAACTTGAAGAAAGGAACTTCAAGCTTCTGATCCACGCCGATCACAGCAGTTGGGGTGAAGCTGAGCGACAGGAAGTGAGTGAGGGGGAACCAGTACCAATACTGAATAAAAACGGCC